GCATCGGTCGATACTCAGCCACTGAGCAACACCAGTTGGGCTCTCATTGTGTTTTGCTTTGCATTTCCCTAATGATCAGTAATATTAAGCACCTATTCATGTACCTGTAAGTCTTTGGAAAAGTGTCTGTTGAGGACCTTTGCCCATTTTTAAATCAAATATTTGTTGTTTTGTTATTGAGTTCTATGGGTTCCTTATATATTTTGAGCATTAATACCTTATCAGATATATGGTTTGCAAATATTTTTTTTTATTTCCTAGGTTGCCTTTTTATTTATTGATTGTTAGAGCTTCTTTTTCTAATTATCTTAATTCATCTCTAATAGAGAGCCTGCCCTTGATCATACTAACCATTTTTCTGCCAGAGGCTTTAGTCCTTGTGTGTTTCAGTTGTTCAGTAACTGTTTCCTAGAAAAAAGGAATCTTTAGCAGCTGTTTCCTAGAAAGGATTTAAAGAGATTACATTTTAAAGATGGATTAGGATTGCAATTAATATGATTTTGTCTTGATTTATGTCTTTTCTTAAAAATATTTTTTATTGATTTCAGAGAGAAAGGGGTGAGAGAGAGAAAGATATCAATGATGATATAAAAATCATTGGCTCTCTATTGGGGATCAGGCCTGCAACCTGGGCAGTACTCTGAATGGGAATCCACCCTTCAGTCCGCAGGCCAATGCTCTATCCACTGAGCAAAACCAGCTATGGCGGTTTCTATCTTTATAAAACTTTTCTTTAAATAGGATTTATATATGGATGGTTAATGAGTGGAACCTAAAGCTGACTGGAATACTTTCGCATTAATTAGTTACTGTCCACAACTTTGAAAGACCATGTACCCAACACCCAATCTAGATAATGAGGTCTGTAGTGTGTCTAACTGAGGTCAAGTATTGAAATGTCCTACTCAGAGCTCCCTCACCAAAGGAGGTCTAGGCATGAGACCATGAGAGTCTGTGGCCCTTACTGCTTTTGTTTAATTACAGAGACATGGTACTTGAAAAACTTTTTAAAGTTTTCATGTTTTCAAAATCCTGGGAGCTACAGCGTGAAGGTTCAGACCAAAAAGGCTGCTTCCTGAAGTGTTTATGCAAAGGGTCATTTTTAGAGTGTTATGTGGAATGGAATTGGATCTGACGTCAATTCTCAGTATGCTTTCTCTCTCCTGGAGAAACAGCCCGTGTGCAGAGCCAAATGTGAGACTGGAGTCTTTATTACATAAAAACAATGTTGGGAGAGAATGAGACTATTACTCTGAGTGAGAGGTTGAGGAAGAACAGAGTTTACTATAAGCCAGAGGTGACGGAGTTTTTCTTATATGCACTTAAAAAACCTTCAATTGTGCGTAATCCATAGTGCATAAGGCATAAGTGTGCAGTAAATTAATAATAATAGAAAATAGAGCAAATACTAGTGTAACCATCACCCAGGTCAAATACCAGGGCATTGCCAGCTCTCAGAAGCTTCCAGCAGTTCCTTTTGTCACTACCTACTCACCCTTCAGATGGAGCTTCCCAACTCCATGATAATAATTTCTTTGCTTTCCTCTTTACAGTTATTCCTCTTACATGTATTCCTAAAAACAGTATGATTTAGTTTTGCCTGTAGTAGAACTTCATATTCATGGAACCATATTACATTTTTTGTGAGTCTTAATCCTTTCACTCAACATTTTGTTTGTGATAATCATGCATGTTGTTGCATGTATCTGTGGTTTGTTCTCTTTTATTGCTATACTAGAGGCCCAATGCACAAAATTCGTGCAAGAGTAGGCCTTCCTTCCCCTGGCTGCCGGCACCGGCTCCCCTCTGCCACCCAGGACCCAGGCTTCCCTCAAAGCCCTGGTTTCGTCTGGAAGGATGTCCAGTCTAATTAGCATATTATGCTTTTATTATTATAGATAGAATTTAATTGTATGACTATACCACAATTTATTATTTTACTGTTGGATGTTTGTTTTTCCAATCTGAACCAATTGCAAATAATGACACTGAACGTTCTTGAACTTGTCTTTTTGCTGCATGCATTCTATTGGATATACTTAGCTTGAACCATGTGAAATGACCAATTTTGTGTATTAAACAGTTAACTATTAATGATTTCATATGGTTCAATCTAATACCGAGGAGTAGAATTGTTGGATCATAGGAAATATCTATGTTCAATTTTAGTAGATTCATCCAGTTTTTTAAAAATCTTCTACCAACTTAATCTCCTGGGCCCATTCTTTGAGTTTTTACGGATGCTTCATTATACAGGCATGATTAATGAAATCATTGGCCATTGGTAATTAAACATAGGGTATAACCCTTCTTTCCTCCTCAGAGGTCAGGGGTGGGGCTGAAAGTTTCAACCCTCTAATCACTTGGTTAGTTCATCTAGTAACCAGCCTCCTCCCTCATTTTTAGGTACTTTCCAAAAGTTACTCTATTAATGTAAACTCAGTTGCCATTGAAGGTAGCTTGGTATGAATAATGAGATGCATCTCTATGGCTTTTTAAAAAAATATATTTTATTGATTTTTCACAGAGAGGGAGGGAGAGGGATAGAGAGATAGAAACATCGATGAGAGAGATATATCGACCAGCTGCCTCCTTCACACCCCCTACCGGGGATGTGCCCACAACCAATGTACACGCCCTTGACCAGAATCGAACCTTGGACCTTTCAGTCCACAGACCGATGCTTTGTCCACTGAGCCAAACCAGTTTTGGCAATCTCTTATGGCTTTTAAGGAATTTCAGGAACTGAGGACAGGAGACCTAATCCTATGTAATAAAAGCCTAATATGCTAAGTGTTCAGTTGTCCAGTCAGCTGTTCAACCAATCAAAGCTTAATATGCCAATGATATGCTAAGGCTGCTCAACTGCTTGCTATGACATGCACTGACCACTAGGGGGCAGACAGTCAACTGGTCGACCAGTTGCTATGACATGCACTGATCATGGACCAGTAGGTTAGCTTGCTGCTGGAGTCTGGCTGATCAGACTGAACCAGATGGGCCAGACATGCCTGGAGCCCTCCCACAGTCCCTCTTCGGCCCTGATTGTGCACCAGTGGGGTCCCTCGGCCTTGCCTATGCCCTCTTGTAATCCAGGCCCCCTTGGGGGATGTTGGAGAGCCAGTTTCAACCGGACAACGAAATGACTGGTCACTATGATGCTCACTGACCATCAGGGGACAGCCACTCAATACAGGAGTTGCCCCCTGGTGGTCAGTGCGCTCCTACAGTGGGAGTGCTGCTCAGCCAGAAGCCAGGCTCATGGCTGGTGAGCACAGCAGCAGTGGCAAGAGCCTCTTCCGCCTCTGTGGCAGCACTAAGGATGTCCAACTGCCAGCTTGTCGGACATCCCCCCAGGGCTTCCGAACTGTGAGAGGGCGCAGGCCAGGCTGAGCGCCCCCTGCCCCCAAGTGCATGAATTTCGTTCACTGGTATTGTAACAAAAGATGCTCTCATTGCTATTAACTAGGAAATAACAAGGTTTTGGGAGCTGTGAGCCAGGGACGATGAATAAAAACCAAAACATATGTTTATCTTAAATCTAATATCTTTGAGTTTTATTTAACCTCAGAGAAACTTATGTGTCATCTTTATTATTTTATTTTTTATTGAATTTATTGGGGTGGCATTGGTTAATAAAATTATATAGATTTCAGGGGTATAATTCTATAATACATCATCTGTATATTGTATTATCTGTTAACCACCTCAAGTCTTTATTTTTAATTTTTAAAAAGTTAAAAGTTTAATTGAAATTAAATATTCTGGTGGCTTCAAGATGAGAGAATGTAATTATTGTTTGAAATGAAGTATTTAACTGTGAAAGTAGCCTACAGTTTATAGCATATTCCATTGAATTAATTTTGTTATAAGCACAATACCAATTATGTGTGGATTTTTAAAAAATATATTTTTATTGATTTCAGAGAGGAAGAGGGAGGCAGGGAGAGAGAGATAGAGACATAGAAACATCAGTGATGAGAGGGAATCATTGATTGGCTGCCTCCTGCACACATCACACTGGGGATTGAGCCCACAATCCTAGCATGTGCTCTGACTGGGAATGGAACATGACCTCCATGTTCATTGGTCAATGCTTAACCACTGAGCTATGCCAGCCAGGCCCAACATGGTTATGATATTCTCTTCTGAGCATCTGTGAGCAACTGAGTGACTATAGTTTTGCTTATTGTTACAATATATTTTTCATAATCTTCTCCACTCTTACAGTTTATTGATCTTTTGCTTCAGGAACAGTTGCCATGTCTCTGTCGGTTCTGTTGAATTTTTTAATATCCCTGCACCCTCACACAGCTCTGTCAGCAGAAACATGGTTTCCTTTCACATCAGCATGTGTGTTTAATCTTGCCTTTCAATCTCCACAATAAGAAGTGATCATTGGGCCAAAACCAGTTTGACTCAGTGGTAGAGCATCAGTCTGCAGACTGAAAGGTCCCAGGTTTGATTCTGGTCAAGGGCATGTACATTGGTTGCGGGCTCATCCCCGGTGGGGTGGGGGGGTGCAGGAGGCAGCTGGTTGGTGTTTCTCTCTCATCGAAGTTTATGGCTCTATCTCTCTCCCTTTCTTCTTGATTTAAAAAATCAATAAAATATATATATTTTTAAAAAGTGATCATTGGGAGGGAGCAATAGTGAACAAAAGGAAGATATATAATTTTTTTCAAGTAGGTTGTACACTCATGCTAGGTTCAAGAGTGTGTTTGGCTAAAAGGACTTAATACACAAACTAGAATCAAAACTCCCAAAGCTTACATATATTTTGGCTTGGTGCGTGCATATCTCCCCCTTATTCCCAGGAGCCTAGGTAATACCCCAAAATCCAACACTCTTACCTGAGTGAGAGAACACAGGTTACATCTGAGGAGTTGGATGCTTGTGCTTCTAAAACCCTGAGGAACGCTTAGAGTTGCAGTTTATGTTCCTGACCCTGAAGGGACCCTTGTAATTGCTAATGAAGAGTTGGCCTTTCTCCATTGCAGATTGACATCAGTAAATGCCATTATTTAGTGGACTTGGACACCACAAGAGAAACACCCCGGGAGCCAAAATATTCGTCTAACAGGGAAGAATGGATCAGCCTGGCCTACAGACCGTTCCTTGATGCTTCCAGGTATGTGGCGTTAATCCTAAGAGATGTGTTAGGGTTAGGAAAGGTGAAAATTGGATTGAATAAATTCCAGCTCTGGGCTGATGCTAGTAGCCATCATTTTACTTTATTTATGTTTGGACCCAAACACATCTTCTATCCTTGTCCAGTTTCCTGAAAAATCTAAAACCGCTCTCTTTTTCTAGGCAACAGAATACAAAGTATATTCTAGTATCATCTAAAAGAATCTGAGTAAAGCAGATTGATCCATGAAGAAAATACGAATAAGTGTTTGACATTGATTATTTTCAGCAACCAACTTCAACTATTTTAACTGAGAATATTCTAACACAATTAGGAAGATTGACTCTGTCCTTTAAGGAGCTAGAAGTTCATATCCATTATTTTTAGGCACAAGGCTCAGTCAGGGATGGGATAGGCCTGCCTTTGTCTTAACTAGAGAGACCAAATAGACCTGGGTGTGGCTGGCTCTTCAGAAACGTCTCAGAATTAATGATGAGAGGGAAGTCAGGACATTCAGGTGAAGTGGTAATGGGGCGGGGGTGAGTTGGAAGGGTCAGGCTGTCTGTGGGCAGAGGTAAAGATAAACAGACAGCTGAAGTTGAGGAGGTTCAGGGAGGCCCAGAATCCACAAGATCGGGCAAAGAGCAAAAGGTAGAGGAGCTTGTCTTGAGAGATAGGTCTGGAACTCAGAAACAGGGAAGAGAATGTTTTTAGGAGGAAGGGCTCATCAGAAGCTGCTGATAAACCAAGTGAGAGGAGGAATAACTGTTCATTGGACTTGGCAGCTGATAAAGCAGTTTTGGTTAAGCAGTGGAGCATAGCCCTTGAGAGATTAGATGGGTCAAAGCAAAAACATATAAGAATTGGAAAAATGCCTAAACTGGTTTGGCTCAGTGGATACAACGTTGGCCTGTGGACTGAAAGGTCCCAAATTCGATTCCAGTCAAGGGCATGTACCTTGGTTGTGGGCACATCCCTGGTAGGGAGTGTGCAAGAGGCAGCTGGTCGATGTTTCTCTTTCATCGATGTTTCTAGCTCTCTGTCCCTCTTTCTTCCTCTCTATGAAAAATCAATAAAATATATATTTTTAAAAAGAATTGGAAAAGGCAAATATAGACAAGTCTTTTGGAAAGTTTTGCTATAAAGGGAAACAGAAACAAGACTATAGCTCATAGTGGGTGTAGGGAAGTGCTAACTAGAAAGATTTTTATCCTTAAATTTTTTTTTTATTGTGGTAGTGTGTGTATACCATAATAGAGCTGAAATCTGGTCATGGAGAAAGGAAAGAATTGCTGGAGCACTGCCCTTGAGTTAGGTGAGAGGAGCTGCACATGTAAGTCAGGATGTGCTATAGGCAGATGTACAGATAGGTCTCTGAACAGCACTGCCCGAGAGAACTTCCTGCAGGATGGAGATGTTCTGCTCCATCCAATACAGGAGCCACTGGAATAGCCTGTTTGAGGCAGAGGAATTAAACTCTCCCTTGGATGGGAGGAGTGTGAGAGAATTTATGGACATGTTTTAAAACCATCGTAGCTCTTTTGATGCCATTCTTGATTTGAATTGGATACTTTTTGAAAATTGTCTTTTTAAAGGAGATTTCTTTCAGAAGAGACATATGGCGCATAAAACCGTCCAATAAGCTGGTTCCATCTGCAGCTTCTTACTACCCAGGTGGAAAGGGACATTCCAGGCCAATAGTTTGAAAAGCTTCAGATGGTGTTCAGATCCTTTAGGAAGAATTAGTTCTCCTTCCTAACCAGTAATTGAAGTGATCTTGTCTTTCCCTACACATCAATCATGGGGTGTCTTTAGCTCCTTCTTCTATGCCAAGAATACAGAGAAACTGTAAGGAAGAAGAGGTCAGAGTTTCTTGACTTTTGTGATTCTTTTTTTTACACTACACATACACACACACACACACACACACACACACACACAGATACACAGACATTGATTTTGGAGAGGGAGAGAGAGACGGAAACATCAATGATGAGAAAGAAACATTGACGCTGCCTCCTGCACACCCCACACCAGGGATGGAGCCTGCAGCCCCAGCATATGCGCTCTCCAGGAATTGAACCGTGACCTCCTCGTCCATAGGTCGATGCTCAGCCTCTGAACCATGCCGGTTGGGCTCTACTTTTGCAATTCTTTATCAGGTCATTATTCTCTTATGCTTCCTGTTTCTTTAGCAGTTTTTAGCCTTTCCATTTTTTCTTCTCTCCAGATACTTTCCTGAGACCCTTCATCTGCAGAGCTGGTCCAGACTAGATTTAGCCTCAACATGCATTGGTGTTTTCCTCCTTGTTTCTTTAGCTGCTAAAACATTGAGATCTCCTGACATTTTTAAAAAAATATATTTTATTGATTTTTCACAGAGAGGAAGAGAGAGGGGTAGAGAGTCAGAAAAATCGATGAGAGAGAATCATCGATCAGCTGCCTCTTGCACACCCCCTACTGGGGATGTGCCCGCAACCAAGGTACATGCCCTTGACCGGAATCGAACCTGGGACTTTTCAGTCTGCAGGCTGATGCTCTATCCACTGAGCCAAACCGGTTTCAGCTGAAATAAGGATTTCTTAAATTTCAGAACTTTTTGATGCCCTTATTTGATATAATGAAGATTGTTGAGTATTTTAAAGCATACTCCTTTATTTCATCTCCATAGAGCTTGCCAGAATCATCTACCTGCTGGGACTCCAATGCTGCTTCCTATTTGTCCCATAGAAGCATAGCCCAAAGGGTGCAAAGGGCAGGGGCAAACACCTTAAACACTGCTGTGTTTTCTCCCCAGGAGTGGTGGGTGGGACATGTAGTACCTGCATATTCACGTTGCTCTCAGATGGAAAACAGACGGGTGAAGAGCATTTCCCCAGCAGCCTTGGTGGGGCTGGAGGTCAGAAAATGGCCAGTTGCCTAACAGCAGTTTTTTCTCAATCCTCATTCTGAATATTGGCTAAAGGTGACTGGTCAAGAGGTTATGATGTTTTCACATGATTGGCCACGGGCCACAAATAAGTGAGGTGACTCACTCTGTAAACAGTCATGCAGTGCTGTGATTCCAATTTGTGCCTCAGCAAACTTCCGAATCTATACAGTATGGATTTTTGGAGATTGATACCAAATAGTCAAAACTGTGAATGCATTCAGGGAATGCCAAGGATCTTTTGGAATGCATGCTGAAAATAAATGTCATTTTGGTCACATGGGTAATGATGATTGAGCATATACTGCGAAAACTGAAACCTGGTTAAGTTACTTGACCTTTAGCATTTATATTTTCTTTGCTAATGTGAATGCCCTCCACAAGTCCTTGTGTTCTCACATCTCCTGGACCACTGCCCCACCACACACCAGAGGCTCCTACTGTGTTCTGCCCACCTAATGGCTTTAGGACTGAATCTTTGGGAAGAGAAGAGGAATAAGAACTTCATATTAGTTTTGTTAATCCTTTTCCTTGTGGAAGATGAATATTGCCAAAAGTGAGTGAGGTAAACTAATGCTCTGATTTAAGAGTCTGGGCATAGTCATTCATTCATTCACAGGTTATTCATTAAGCACTTGATGTGGAACTGTTCTAAAAGTAGAGAGATAGAAGTTAGGTCAAGTTAACTCTTCAAGGGACTGAAATTCTAGTAGAGTATTAGTGTAGCAAGTAATTCCTGTGTTCATTTCTCTTTTGTGCAATAAATGTTACCTCTGTGTTACTTACCGACCGTTAGTGTGATGCCCTCACTCCATTTCCTGTTAAGGAATATTAAAGTACAGTCACATTTTTACTACATACCAGCTTTTTGAACAGTTCTCAGGACTACAGCTTGGCTATAGATAAAGTCTTGAGGGAATCCTGAGATTCTCTTTAGAACAGAAGATTGTTGTGAAAATTCAGTTCTACCCTGAGGGTTGTATTAAGTGTAACTGAAATGTGAGCGAAGTGTGAGAGAGAGCAAGAGACAAAGATACACTGAGGGAGAAAACTAGCTTCAAAAAGGAAGAACTGGCAGTCAGATTAGACTACAGGTCCACATGGCCATAATATTTGGATGAGTGGATGGATGGATAAAAATAAAAGAGAAAACCTTAGTACCTTAGTACTAGGACGTTTTCTTTTTAAAATGAAAAGTTGACCCAGCATTTCCTTTTGTGCCTGCTGAACTAGAGACATCAGGGACTGGCAGCCAGTCTTCACTGGTATCAGCAAGAGCAGATAAGTCTCCACAGAACACTTCCTAACCTTGATAAATATGGCTGGTAATTTAATTAGAAAACATTCTGAGCTGTCAGCTAATTATGCTATTCAGACAATAGCTTTGTCCAGGTCTGTTTCATCTTTGAATCTCTTGAGTGACTTGCTCACTGGTATGTGAAGTATTTCCATCTCCACGATAGAGGCATATATTGTACGTCTCCCTAAATTATGCTGTCTGTGCTTCCTCAGGGCATTTCACATAATTACAGACAATGTATGAGTTTTGTGTTTTTTTTAAATAAAGATAATCCTTTTTAAAAATATATATATTTTTTATTGATTTTTACAGACAGGATGGGAGAGGGATAGAAAGTTAGAAACATCAATGAGAGAGAAACATCAATCAGCCGCCTCCTACACACCCCCTACTGGGGATGTGCCACAACCAAGGTACATGCCCTTGACCGGAATGGAACCTGAGACCCTTCAGTCCACAGGCCGACGCTCTATCCACTGAGCCAAACCAGCTAGAGCTGTATGATAGGTATTAGTTTTGTTCTAATTTGTGATTCAGTCTAATCTTTGTTTCCATGTGTATGGAAACATATGTTATTCTAGTGCTCAACTGTTTTTCAAAGGCAAATAACCAAGTTCATTTTCACTTTTTCAGCAATAGTACAGTATAGCAATTTAAAAGATCCTAGTCATGCTTAGCACACTAAAGCTATTCATGGTAAAGAAACTCATCTAGAACAGCAGCGATAGTTTTAGAAATGAGGAATTCAACCTAACTTGTTCTCTTTGTTTAAAAAAAAAATCACAGAATGTTCCCATCCCAGCTCAGAGGTGTGTATATTGACTGATCCTCACTTCATCTTGAAGAAATTAGTGGCTTTAGATGTGAAAGATAAATAATGTCAACTCTAAAATAGAATCTATCCATCTTGGAAATTCTGGTTCTGGGCTTCAGGTACATCTCTAATAGGTTCTAACTTATTGCTTCTGGTTGTTTTTGCACTTGTATCATCAAAATGCAAAATTTGAAGAAGTTTTTGAAACTTTTAATGATTCAGTTTTGTCAAAGAGAAGGCAGCTATCATTTTTGCTCTGTAATTGATCAGTTTATGATCAATTCATTGAAATCTTTTTTTTAATCCTCATCTGAGGACATTTTCAAAGACTTTTTTGAGAGAAGGAAAAGGAGACAGTGAGAGAAACATTGATGTAGAGAGAAGCTTCGATCAGTTGCTCTTGCACATACCCCAACCAGGGCCCAGGACTGAACCTAGGTATGTGTCCTAACCTGGAATCAAGCCTGAGGTCTTTCTGTGTATAGAATGATGCTCCTACCAGCTGAGCCACACTGGCCAGGATTTCATTGAATTTTTTAAATATTTTTTTAATTGATTTGAGATAGAGAGAGGAAAGGAGAGAGAGAAACATCAATGTGATGTGAGAGAGAAATATCAATCAGGTGCCTCCTGCATGCATCCCTGCCAGGTATCAGGGGATCAAACCCACAACCTGAATTTGTGCCCTAACTGGAAATCAAACCGGTGACCTTTCATTGCTCAGGAAAATACTCGACCAACCAACTGAGCCACACTGCTCAGAACTTCAATTGAATTTTTTATTTCTTTTTCATCTATATTCTTCCAGTCACCTTGGTATATGAACTTGTCTTCAGCATGTGTCCACTTATTTTATTAAATAAAATTTGGCACACAGATCTCATAAAAGATGCAAAAATGTGATCAGATGCCCTGTTAAGATAATAGGATAGTTCAGGTTCTTTAAAAAAAAAAAAAAAAAATATATATATATATATATATATATATATATATATATATACACACACACACACACACACACACACACACACACACACATACACATATATAACGTTTTACATATGTCTCCTTTTTGGTCCAGGTTCTTGTAAAATACTGCATGATAAAGTCTTTCCTGTTGAATGACTAACTGAATGAAAATACCTTATTTCCTTTTTGTTCCTGGAAATATATTGTTTACTCATTTATTCCTGAGTTTGAGAAAATTCATCCAGTATATTGTCATCTGAAGACGCACAGGCAAATTTTGCTTGTTATATCAATTTCACCATCATCATCAGAGTATTGAGTGCTGCTGTTTCTCTTTGTATTCCTCTACTGTTTTGTCTAATACTTGTAAAATGTCTTCTATCAGTTTTCTTCTCATTGCCATAATGGACCACTATTTATAAAATTCTGAATTCTCAACACTATTCAATGAAAGCAAAGATAATGTCTTTAGTTTTTCATACCTTATTTGATGATGATGCAATACTTTGGGCAATGCACTAAGAAAATTGAAGGAAAATGCAATAGTGATTATTTATTTTACTTTTGCATTCTGTTTGGTAATTTCATCATTTTCCTTTTTCTTATTACTTGAGTCTTTATTTTTTTAAAAGCACAGTTGTAAATAATCCAAGATACAGGAAAAAAAAATTAGACCACTAAGATCCTACAATATAGCTTACATTTATAAAAGGGTACAATGGATCCATATGGTAATTACAAGATAAAATGTTTTATTCTGGTTGTTTTTTTTTTTTTTTTTTTTAAGTCAGTATAATCTCTCTTTGTTCTTTGGAAGACTCTAAAAAGATAAACATTGTGAAATAATAACCCTCCCAAATAATAAGGAATGGTTCCAAAAAGAAAGTCAAACACTAACATTGGGCCCAGTGGCCCCAGTGTTATACCAGGGACTGAGTTGACTGGCAATGTGTGCTGACCCTGTTAATGAAGCTTTTATCGTGGAGTAGAAATGGCCCTAAATTAGTGTTGGCTTTTCTTTACCACAACTAAGCTCGCAGGAGTTTGCTCCGACCTACAGCCTTCCGTTCTGACCTTCCCCTTATCTGTGTAGCACGGACAGAAAGAATACATTCACTTCTTTCTGGCTCAGGCAGGTGCTTCCTCCTCCTGTTGGTTGTCTGCAGGAGCTCTGCCTTATCTCGTGTCTCTTCTAAGCCCTTTATCAGAGCCCTTCAACGGCTGGTGAAGTGAAGTGCATCTCTGTTGAGCACCCAGCACTGCCAGGGTCCCAGTGGGGAGCCTCTCTCAGAGGTGTGTATGCCAAGCACGATATCATTGTGTGCAGGCGTTGCGGGAGTCTGCCAGTGCAAATGCCACCTTGCCTCGACATTTACAAGTTCTGAGTCTGAGAAAGGACTGGCAGCGGAACACTCTGCAGCTTCCTCATTTGTGGTGGCAGTAACTGGGTCAGCTTTGATGTTTTGACTCAGAAATCACAGTCAAGAAGTAATGCTTGATACATAATTTGAAATGATCACTGCCACATTTTCTACGAAGTTATGAATCCTATTATCCTGTTCCCAGGATACAGGATAAACCATAGGGGTTGAGTGCAGAATCTGGAATCAAAGCTGGATTTGAGTGAGGGCTCTGTCACTTCCTGTGTGACCCCGAGCAAGTTACTTTATGTAAGTTTCAGGTCCCATCGATAAAATAGGGATAATAATATCACTTTCCTCCTATGGGTTATTGGCTGGATTAAATAGTATTTTTAAAAGTGTAAGCACTTTTCCCAGTGTTTGTCCAATGCTAAGTGTTCAATAAATGTGAAGTATTTTTCAGAAATTCAGGTTTTCATCTATTCCTGTATTTTAATAACAAATATGTACATTTAAAAAAATATATTTTATTGATTTTATACAGAGAGGAAGGGAGAGAGATAGAGAGTTAGAAACATCATTGTGGGAGAGTCATCGATCAGCTGCCTCCTGCACACCCCCCACTGGGGATATGCCCGCAACCAAGGCACATGCCCTTGACCGGAATCGAACCCGGGTCCCTTGAGTCCCCAAGCCGACGCTCTATCCATTGAGCCAAACCGGTTTCGGCCAAATATGTACATTTTATAACTTGCCAGGGACATGTCATGACATGAGCTTGTGTATAAGACTCTCTCTTTGACTTAAGAATTGCTAGAGCCGAAACCAGTTTGGCTCAGTGGATAGAGCGTCAGCTTGCGGACTGAAGGGTCCCGGGTTCGATTCCGGTCAAGGGCATGTACCTTGGTTGTGGGCACATCCCCTACTGGGGATGTGCAAGAGGCAGCTGATCGATGACTCTCTCATCAATGTTTCTAACTCTCCCTCTCTCTTCCTCTCTATAAAAAATCAATAAAATATATATTTTTTTAAATTGCTGGAGCCTGGCTGGGTAGCTCAGTTGGGTAGAGCATCGCCCCGATACACCAAAGTTGTGGTTTCGATCCCTGGTTAGGGCACAAGAATCAACCAATGAATGCATAAATAGTGGAGTAACAAATCTGTGTGTGTGTGTGTGTGTGTGTGTTTTCCCTCTCTCCCATTTCCCTCCCCCTTCCTTTATCTTTCTAAAATCAATAAATAAAGCTGAAACCAGTTTGGCTCAGTGGATAGAGCATTGGTCTGCGGACTCAGGGGTCCCAGGTTCGATTCCGATCAAGGGCATGTACATTGGTTGCAGGCACATTCTCGGTTGGGGGTGTGCAAGAAGCAACTGGTCGATGTATCTCTCTCATCAATATTTCTAGATCTCTATCCTTCTCCCTTCCTCTCTGTGAAAAATCAATAAAATATATTTTTAAATAAATAAATATAAAAAAACTAAAAAAAAAAAGAATTTCTGGAACATTGCACAGGAAGCCCGGACATATTTTTCTTCATCTTTCTAGGAAAATTTAGTGCTGGAGTCAGGATCATTTGAGCATCTCTACAGTTCTTAGCTGCAGAAACCATTGGGTATTAAGTATTTATTTTAGTAATAGCAGTCCTTTGATTGACTTGGAACTTTTCTATAGTATATACTAATGCTAAGTGAAGACCTAGAGCTATTTTGAAGGATATACCATGACTTAACTGGGAGACTGTCTTCTTGGTATGGGTAACAAGGTAGTACTTGGTTTTGATTACTTTATCATGGTCTAGTAGCTAAATAACAGGCTTTTCTGTGTTGCTTATATAAAATACCCTTACTAGAGCACTTAGTTTATTTCCCTGAATCATTTTCAATACCATTAGTAAATTCTCTCAAATGGTAAAATTCTCCTTTCCCCCACCCCTTGTTTTTCAGATCTTCAAAGCTGTTGCGGGCATTTTATGTCCCCTTCCTGTCGGATAAGTATACAGTGTATGCAAACTACACAATCCTCAAACCGCGGAAAGCAAAGCAAAGCAGGAAGAAAAGTGGAGGTTAGCAGCACGTGTGCCCGTGGCCCTTCGGACAGCCATCCTGCTCTAGTGGTTCCATGGCAGGACTCCTTCCCAGCCATCACTGTAACGTGTAATAAAGGCTACCTGACACAATCCTGGATTCCGGGTGCTTTGGGCTGGTCACCGTCACCCACATTCACTTCCTGCCTGCGTGTCTGTTCTGCATGTAACCGTTCCGCAGCTGGGCAGAGAAAGGCCTTAAGGCCAGGTAGACAGTGTTCCACATCTCATTGTTTTTCTTCTGTTTAATTATTTACCAGACCGGAGAAGAGCAGAATCAGCCCATAGGAAGAACTGAAAGTCTGAACTGGGTGGCTGGTGAAGCTGTTCTCCACGCTCTGGCCTGGCACCCGAGAACTAGCTCGCCTCTCCTGGGCTGATGGGCTTCTCCACCAAAGCCGTGTGGCAGCTTCTCACAGACCTTCTTGTTCACACCCCAGTGCTGAGAATGAGCACAGCCTAGTTGCCAACCTACATGTCCTTTCCCCTCCAGCAAGACTCAGTTTCTCTAACGCGCTTCACAGGACGAGGCTGTCCTGGAGGTGCCTCAGGAAAAAGGCAGCGATGTGAGGAACTGTGGCCGAACTGCATTATTTAGGATGCCACTTATTTTCATTTTATTTCCTTTACAACAAACTGTAACTATGTGGATTGTTTCTTAAGTTTTAGCATGCTGTTTCTTGAATTCAAAACTTCCCTGTGTAAAGTTATTAATAGACCAGTATACAGTGTATGCAATCTACACAATCCTCAAACCCCGGAAAGCAACACAAATAGGAAGAAAAGTGGAGTTAGGAACACGTGTACAGGACACATTTGGAGAAAATTAATTCTACCAATTGGATAGAGTTGGATAATGTCACATTTTTAAGTAATGTATTCTGTGGCCATTTCTGAGGAAATTAAGAATTTCCCTTTTTTAAACAACCCTAGTGAAAAAGTCCAGTGTATATTTATAGCAACTATTTTTAAGTCTGTACATTGCCAAGCACATCCTGCATGGGCACTTCTCGTCAGATAGGCAATTATAATGACCGAATATTTTAATAAGTGTGTACTCTCTTTACCTTTACATACATTATTTCATAGTTTATAAAGCATTTTGCACTATCTCATTTGATCCTCATTCACAATGTGAAGTAGACAAGTCAAGTGTTTTTATACCCATTTTAAAGATTAAGAAACTGAGATTACAGGGGGAGAGGGGAGGTAAAGTGACTTGCCCAAGGTCACATAACCAGTTAAATAGTAGCACCAGGACTAGAACTATGTTGCCCTGCCTCTCATCTAGTACTCTTCCATATTTTCTCACTTGACTGTGAAAACAGTACTTGAAAGAATGCTGAGGTGACTTTCTGCTTTAATGAAGAATTTTATCTGTTTTTCCTTTGAGTTCTCCAGAGCCTCCACTGTCTGCTGGTTAGACTCTCATCACAGCAGTGACAGGAACACGTGTTTGGAAGTCCTGCTCCTTTGTAGCCAGGCAGGATCCCGTAGTTGTTCCATTTCTATTGTCAATCTGCATCACAGTATAGGTGCCTTATTTCCCAAGGGTGATTATGTCTGGTATCTGCAAAGAGGCTGAATTTGTTTTTCAGAGTTTCCATCTTTCATTTTTCAAAGAGAAGGGCTTTCAATAGGAACTGATCCCAAGGGAGGAGAAAAGAGATGATAAGGGAAGGAATGGCTAGTGGCCATATGCAAGTCTCCCCTCTGAAGGGAGATTGGGATCCAGATGAAGTACTGGAGAGGCAACAGGTCTGGACCATAGAGAATAACTGAAAGGTGGAGATAAACTGGGGTCCCACTTGCTGCTGTAAAGACTTCTGCCATTTAATTCTCAATCCTTGATTACTTTTTCCAAATATTGGCCCATTTGGTCTGACTACAGGATAGAGAATTTTCACTGAAATATCTTGCCATGCCTACTTTAATAGTGCACCAAGTTGCTAAAGCCCTTTACTTTTTTGCAGAGGTAAATAGAATTCCGAAAGGGAGGCCCATAATGAGCGGCTTTTTCTAATTGCAGTAGTACAACGCTGATTTATTCTATCATCTTGCATGTGGAAAATAAAAAGCCTTCTGAGCAGGAACTTACTATAACATAGCACAAACAAAGGTCATGATTGATTCAGGGATTCCCGGGAAATATCAGCTCCTATTCCTTTTAAATCCTGCTTTTGGTTTTCTCTGTTCTACGTATATCTTTAACGAGAGCACAATCAACTGCAGGACTCTGTGCCAAATGCTGTAGGTCAGAGTAGTAGAAAATGAATGTTTTTTGTTATGATGAATTGTTCACATATTTATATAAACACATTTATAAATCTCAGCAATACAGGGAGCTTAGCTTGCCGGGGTAAAGTTCCAAACACCTGGTCAGGGTAACATTTCTCCTCTAGAGAATCAGTGTTCAGCATGAGCTGTCCCCTCTGCGCATTATAAGGATGGCATGTCTAAGGTGCTTATTTCTCCATAGATTGTGGAGTATCAAGGAATAAAAGACTATAATTGTTTGTAATAACCTTTGATTATGGAGCTGAGTGCCGGAGTGGGTGTACGTGGTAATACCAGGACTCAGATCTCTGTTTTCTGAAGCAGCTGGATCTGAAACCGGATCTTATGGCACTGAGTCCCAAACTGAGTTAATAGGCATCTATTGTCAAAGTTTGCCTGTCACTGGGTAGTTGCCATCTGATAAGAAAGAAGACTGGTAATTTTTTTTTTTTATTATTGATTTGAGAGAGAGAGACATTGATTTTTTGTTGTTGTTGTTGTTCCACTAATTTATGCACTCATTGTATGTGCACTGACCAAGGATTGAACCTCCAACGTTGGCATATTGGGATGACGTTCTACCAACAGAACTAGCCGGAGGAAGATTGGTCATGTTAATCTCTTGGGATAATCACAGAAAATTGAAGCCCATACTCTTTATTATTGAACTCAAGTTTAGAAACAGGATTGTTTTAAATCAAGGTGGGTCTTGATCCCAACTATTTATTTGGATCGTTTTGTTTGTTTGTTTGTTTAGTTTGAAGTTCTGGGAGAGAACCTTGAAAACTTCATGTGGTTCTGCAACATTAGATCTGGAGTGACCACTAGGGCGAAGCACCAATGGCAGCCCTTCGAGTTTGCATTTCTTGGGGGTTACTGAAATAACTCACTGTGATTGTGCTGCCTCCTCCTCCTGCCCAGTGCCAGGCAGCTCTGCTTTTAATTTGGTTAATTTTATTTTCTCTGGAGAGGGAAAAGAGGCACCATTTCATCTCTGCCTGCACAGGCATATTAAAGCTCATGTGTTAATTCATTCTTACGCTCCTACATTAAATTACATGCCTTGGTAAGTTGGTAAATGCACATGTGTTCAGCTTTAATTTTTTTTTTTTTTATTTATTTTTTTTTTTGCAAGACAAAGATCAGACTTCCGAATGGCATTGTATTTCAGAGGCTCTCTGGTGTTTCAATTAATCAAAGTGAACGTTGCCTTCGACTTTCCCAATGCACATGACCAGGTGGCTCATGCTGCAGATACCATCAGGAAGCAGTCCAGTGCTGAAGCAAGAGATTGTCCGAGGGATTTGTCTTCCTGATCCTTGTGCTTTATTTCCCATGTCAGTGTTTACATTGCATACTTATATTTTCTGTGAACGAAAAAAGTTAAATAAATCTTGGCAGTTTGATTTTCCTTTTCTTAAAGTGATATTTTCCCTTTGCCTTTAAGCTTTTAAACCTTGGTGGAGATTGGAAACCGAAGGAGCTCAGCTCCTTCCGTCTGCCTCACTCCCACTCTTCAGTGGAGAGACCTGCCTTCTTTCATCTAAATAGCTCAAAATGCTTATTCTGAAAACCCTAGGAAGAATTCATTGGGAAATCCAGTGGGGGTTGGTTTTATTTTATTTGTGGACAAACCATGTATAGTAGGAATTACTCAATATATTAGTGTTATAACTAAAAGAGAATTTCAGGGTATCATCTTATGTTTTGGGGTTAAAAATTTCCATCAAGCGAGGATCTTAATACTCATAGCAATGTGGATCTAATAATATCTAACATTTAGGTAATTTACCCCTTTGCCAGAAGTTTTTAGGAGCAAATATAACTTCTTTGTGAATGAATTCCTATTATCATTCTTATACCTTGCACCTTATAGCTACTAACTTCTTATACCATCTGATTTTACACCATTGGTTGTTAATTTTCTTCCCATAGGACCAAAAAATGCCCACGAAACTTAGTTTGATTTTTCTCTCTCAGGTTGTTTTACAGGGGGGTGCTTTATTAACATAATTATCTTCCCCTGTCTAGAAGGTAATCCTTCTCTGTGTGTTACTTTTACTTACAGGGCCAGCTTGAGTCTCCCTCTCCTCTAAGAAGCCTTCTAGCCTTCAGACCTGTGATTATGTCCATTCCCTAACCCTCTCAAGTACCTAGTGTTTTTACTAAGGACAGAATATTAACATGCATCCCTTGCAAACCTGTCTCTCAAGAGCATTGCTGGCATGTCTAGGGGCAAAGACCGTGTCGCACAAGTACATAGTTCCCTGAGCATGTTTATGGACAGTGAAGAAAGAAAAGTAAAAAGAAACCTGAAACTAGTATATAACTGTCACTTTCAATTTGGCAGATTTCTAGACCACAGAAAATGCAATAAGTCATTTGATATGTCCTGTGGTACCCAAGGGCAACTTGGAAGATGTGAATGAGGCTTGACATTGTGTGTAGCAATGGCATATTCTTTGGAGTACCTTCTAAAAGGAGAGACTGGGTACCCTCATTGAGTTTTTCTATTATTACTTGTCTAGAGGCCCGATGCACAAAATTTGTGCAAGAGTAGGCCTGCCTTCCCCCAGCTGCCAGCACCAGGACCCGGGCTTCCCTCGCAGCCTCGGCTTTGTCCACAAGGTCGTCTGGAAGGACATCTGGCTAGTTAGCATATTATGCTTTTATTATTATAGATTTGGAGGGTCAGACTTAACCCAGGAGACCTTCTGAATGAATGTGAGGCAGAGCCTGTGCTCCGGGAGTGAGGGGTGCTCTGTTATTACCAGCCACATGCCCTATTAGGAAAAGGAAATTAATGGCGGGGTGACTTTGTAGTGATACATTCAAGTTCAATAATATCAAGTAGCAAGTGATTCTTTTTAAAACTGAAAGCTGTTTTGGCTCTCCTAGCTATAGAGTTCAACATAGACCTGACATTAAAACAAATTTGTAACCAACATTTGGTAAATGCAATGAGACAAATTCAGATAAGGGACATGAGATTATGGAATTGTAGTGGCCCATACAGACTGGGAACTCCTATTGTAGCTTCTTAGAATAATTAATGGCTAAATTAACAATTGGGTTAAATAGCATTTTACCTGGGTATGAGCATTTAAAAAAAAGTTTAAGCGAATCTTAAGGTTATTTTCATAAAATACTTCAAGGGGGTAGGATTTTGTTGTTTTTGACTTTGCTTCTAGTTTCTGAGCTGCTGCTTCTGTCCTCACATGCCTGGAGATAAAAGTAAAACCAGGTGACCCTTAATGGTCCTAATAGCCAAACGACTGTGTGAGCTAAAACAAACTTCTCTGGCCAGCATGGCTCAGTAGTTGATGGTTGACCTATTGAACCAAGAGGTCATAGTTTGGTTCCTGGTTGGGGCACATGCCCAGGTTGTGGGTTCAATCCCCAGTGTGGGGTGAGCAGGAGGCAGCCGATCGATGATTCTCTTATCACTAATGTTTCTATCTCTCCCTCTCCCTTACTCTTTGAAATCAGTTAAAAACACACACACACACACACACACACACACACACACAACAAAACAAAACAACTTTATCGCAGACCTATAGCCATGGATATCAGCCAACACCTGCCTTATGAGGCCTCCTCTTTGACCTGCATTTGCCTGCAGAACCAGTATTTGGCAACTGGTGCCATTGGTCTTTTAACTCCTGAGTCCCAGGTTGCCCAGTAAGAAGGGCATGCTTTTTTGTGTGTTTGTTACCTGCTTCAGTGCTGGAGAAGATGTGCCTGTAGAGCAGAGATTCTCAACCAGAGCTGCTCAGAGAGAATCATCTGAGGACGCTCTTAAAAATGGTCGCTCTCTGCTTGCTCCCAATTGTCTCTTTGAAATTCTGAGTCAGTGGTCCTAGATGCGCCTAGGCATCATTATATTTTTTAAAAATATTTTTATTGATCTCAGGAAGGAAGAGAGAGTAACATCAATGATGAATCATTGATCAGTTGTTTCCTGCACACCCCACTCCAGGGGATCCAGCCCACAACCCGGGCATGTGCTCTGACCAGGAATCGAACCGTGGTCTTCTTGTCCATAGGTCAGCACTCAACCACTGAGCCATGCCAACCAGGCAGCATCATTACTTTTAAAACACTCCTTAGGGGATTTTTCTAATATCAAATGTTATTGATATTAGAAACAGGAGGCAAACAATCACACTGAAAATTAAAGATAATTAAGTAGGCAAAATGTTAGGTGTCCTTTTCCAATTACAACCCTAGGCCTCTGCCCCTCCCCAGACCTTTTCTCTACTTTTCTATCCAACTTTTCCTGCTCTACATCCCATTCTCTCTGGGCCCTGCTTTCCGGGAAACAATTAACTAATGAGGCATGAAGTACACTAATGGATGTTAATAATTTACTATGGTTCTCTTCCCATGGATTCTATCACCTCGGTATGTCTGAATGATAACACACCTGGGGGGGGGGGGGGAAAGAATGGCTAATTTTGGCAATTTCCAGTGCCCTTTTCATTTATTAGGTGGGAGGAAAGGGTGTGCACAGGCACTTCCAACCTTCGGGGTGACCACCTGGCCTTCAGGTTTCACAACCTGCTCGTTGGCACTGTGTGGCTTACTCAGATAAGGACCCAGGGCTGTCCTGAGTAGGATAACTAAAAAAGAAAAGTAGGGGTATTAGGCCATCCTGCCCAGAGCATGTTGGGGGGCCTGTCTTGTAGATTTCCTATTGAACTCGGTTCTGTTTGTTTGAGAGGAGTACAGTGAAGACTTCCCCTTTGTTTTTGTTTTTTGTCGCTGGCCTTCTGCAGAGCTTCTGGGAACTGCTGCTCTCCCTCAGACAGGAGAGCAAAGGTTAAGCCCATTTTGAGGGAAATGACCTGAAATGTGTTCACTCGGCCAACAAGAAAACGCCATGTGTCATTTAGGAATTGTTCTCGCTTCTCTCTTAACAGTATGTCTTGAAGCCTCCCTGGTATTTCCTATAACATGTCCCTCTTTTGTCTTGCCAGTGACATGTTTGCAGAGTTATGGAGAAAAGGAGGCTGATTTTACAGGACTGCATTTTTAAAAGAATCATGAATTTTTTTAAACTTGTTCCTTTCACCTTTCCTTGGGCATCTTTCTTTAATTGTGTTTCCACAGTCTGTAATTACTAGATATGTTCAGAAAAACATCACCAAAGTTTAAATTTGTTGCCAAGCTATTTGGTTTTGGTTTTGTTTTACTCCCAAGTGTCACTCTTTCTGGAAAACTTCTTAAGGCAGCCTTGTCTTCAGGGCATCATAGAGACTTCCCTCGTGTCCAGCAGAGGGCAGCCTCTTCTCACTAAAAATTGCAGAGCTCCTTTTCTTCCAAGAATGGAATTAATTTCAGTATTTGCTATATTCTTGGTGTGGAAATTCTAGTGGAAATTTAAATAACCTGCATTGCATTTCTCTCAAATATTTCTCCCTACATGGCAGTCTTATATTGCTATCATTGCAAAAATTTCCTGGACAAAACCATGTCCATAAGGAGATGCCAAAAGTCAATTCTCAGTTAATGTCAGTTCTAGTTAACATGACCTGGATGACATTCATAGATAATAAAAGGTAAGTATTTGGTTGATGAGGGAAGCAGCAATTTTTCCATTTTTAAGATTCCAATCATGAGCAAACCATGACATACACACAACTTTAACTTTGATATTGCCAAGGGCAACCCAAAGAATAGATGAATGGCCAGGGCTCTCCCCTCCCCCAGACGCCAGCACATCTGCTAGCCCAGCACGTAGAGGGGCTGAGCCCGCGAGGTCAAAGGCCTGAGAACACCTGTGGTTGCTCCTCATGCTTACGTCTGGGGTGAAAAGCAAACATTTGCAGAAGGAAGTATGATTCACATTCAAAAGTATAGGGTACCCACCTGGGCAGATTTAGGCCTTGAGGAACAGACAAAGTAGGCTCTTTGGACTCTTGAACTCAACCTTAGAGAATTATTTTGGGATTTGGTGTGGGGTTTTGTTGTAATTTTGGGGTGTTTTTCTGTTTGTTGTTTTGTTTTGTTTGTTTTTACGCTATGTTGTCAGATTTGCTCTATGGAGAAATAATATGAATAATAGCTAACATTTATTAAGCATTTACTATCTGTTAGGAATGTTTCAAGTTGCTTTTTATTTCTCATAAAATCCTTGCAACAACCTTATGAGGTTGATAACTAGTATTATCCTTTCTTTAAAGATGGGGAAGCTGATACTCAGAGATATTAAATGTCCTGACCAAGATCACCTAGGCAGGAAGTTGCAGACTGGGATTCAAACTCAAGCAGTCTGACTTCAGGCTTGTTCTCTCATTCTCATTCTCTCTCTCTCTCTCTCTCTCTTTCTCTCTTTGAAATATGAATTTTTTTTTTTCAGAGAGAGAGAAAGGGAGAGGAAGAGAGAGAAAAGTCAACTGGC